TCAGTCATAGTACTTTATCGTTCGGGTGAAGGGTGCAGATACTTGGTAAATATGACTTTAATATATTTGGGGGTTGGGTTCATTTTTCATCAGAAACCTGTGATGTTTTGAGCGGCTCAAGTGAGCTTAAATATGTAACCATAAGCTTAATGCACTTTTTTTCGATTTTAAATAAGTAAATTTAAAAATTTCGTTCTTATTTATAATTTTAACAAATGAAAGTGTTTATGACTTAGAGTGACTGATACATTTAAGCTTTTAGGGTTAACATTTTAGGATTAGAAGGATTTGAGTTTGTGAGCTTATATTGTATTTTCGTTATTTGTGAAAATTTTTTTGTTAACGTTATAATGTCATGAAACTACTTCTTTCATTTATAAGTTTTCTAAACTGTTGATGCAAAATAAACTAAGTGCTTCTTTTTTATTTTAGTGTTATCAAATAGTACCTACAAATATATTAGTATTTTGTGTAAAAATTTCACTTTTTTTATTTATTTTACTTATAAAATACTTTGATTACCATGTCTCTCTGTAAAAATAGAGATCGCTTTTGCGTGGTATGTGGGTGATACACATTACAACGCAGTAGGAAAACATGCACTGCAGATGTAAAAAAAAATTATGAAAAATGCTTTGGAATTTCAAAGGAAACTTTTGCTAACGACTGGACTTCTTATGTTATATGTAGTATTTGTCATAATTAAATTTCTAAGGTTGCAAAAGGGAACACAAATGTTAAACCTTTTTCAGTTCATCAATAACCCTATGCATTGGAGAAATCCAAGTAATCATTTGACAGATTGTTACTTCTGTTCCTGTAATATTTTCGGTTACAATTTAAAAAATATTGGCAATATTGTGTATCCAAAAGTATCGTTTATAACTTTTCCAATACCAATAACTGGAAATAATAGGAGTTCAAACTTCTTTTCTAAAGTCAATAGATTAGAAAATCTTAATCCACAGGTTGAATCAGAATCATCTAATTTTTCTCAAAATCAGGAAGAATTAGAAATGGGTAATACAACTGCAGAGTCGCATACAAATAAATTCGAACTATCAGACAAAGAGAATCCAGCCAGTGGAAAATTTAATCAAGATGAATTAAGTGACCTATGTCGAGATTTAGGACTTTCCAAAGAAAACTCTGAACTTTTGGCTTCAAGATTTAAAGAAAAAAATTGCTTAACTGAAAGAACAAAAGTTTTGTTTTATCGTGACAGGGATATTCCTTTTTAAAAATATTTTTCTAGAGAAAACGATTTCGTTTTTATTTTATTGCAACGATGTCACAAATTTAAGCAATGAATATACATGTTTTGAATATAAAGCATCTATGAATGGCGGCTCTTTCTCGATTCATCTACCAGGAGTTTTAAGGCAGTTTTACTGCATATTGTAAATAAGTATGCTCTTTTACCAGTTGCACATTCAACTATATTAAAAGAATAATATGAAAGTTTAAAGTACATTTTGACTCAATTGCAATACAATAAACACAAACGGTTGTTATGTGAAGATTTAAAAATATTGCCGATCGTACTAGGATATCAAAGTGGATTTACAAAATTTCCTTGCTTTTTATGTAAATGGGACAGTCGTGCTTGAAAGGATCATTACGTAAAAAAAAATTGGCCTGCAAGAAACAATTTGAAAGTTGGATCTAAAAATATCATAAAAGAAGATTTATTACCTGTTGAAAAAGTACTACTTCCACCTCTTCACATAAAATTAGGTTTAATAAAGCAATTGGTAAAAGCCATGAAAAAAGAAAATACAAATGCATTTTTGTATATTTTCCAAAAGTTCCCTAGTCTTTCTGATGCAAAAATAAAAAAGGCGTATTCGACGGTCCGCAAATCAGGACCCTTTTTAATGACGAGAATTTCAAAGATATTATGACAGAGGATTTCGCAACGTACTGCGCGCCCACAGCGTACTGTGACTAGGGCATCAAGAAATGCTACTAAAGCGCCACTGTGTGTGTGTTTAACAATGACCAGGGAATCAAGAAAATTTATCGATGTGATGCTTATCATTGAAATTATTGTATATTTTTCTGAGATGAGATGAGATGAGATCTGATATATTGATTGTTTCAGTACCTTGAATTTATTATTATCATAATATACACACCCACATATATATATATATAATTATAATTGAATATG